GGGACGGAGGAGGAGGAGGAGGAGGAGGAGGAGGAGAAGGAGGAGGAGGAGGAGGAGCAGGAAGGAGGGGGAGGAGGAGGAGGAGGAGGAGGAGGAGGAGGAGGAGGAGAGGAGGAGGAGGAGGCGGAGGAGGAGGAGGAGGAGAGGAGGAGGACGAGGACGAGGAGAGGAGGAGGAGGAGGAGAGAGAGAGGAGGAGGGGAGGAGGAGGGGGGGGAGGGGGAGGCGGGGGAGGGGGAGGTGGACTGGAAGGGTTGGGGAAAGGGTGGGGGGGGAGGGGGGGGGGAGGAGGGAGGAGGGAGGAGGAGGAGGGAGGGAGGAGAGGAGGAGGAGGACGACGACGAGGAGGAGGAGGAGGAAGACGACGAGGAAGAGGAGGAGGAGGAGGAGGAGCGACGAGGAGCGACGAGGAGCGACGAGGAGCGACGGCGGAGGAGGAGGCGGAGGAGGAGGGAGAGAGGAGGAGAAGCAGGAAGGGGAAAAGGACAAATGCAAACCCAACCCAAGTTACAAACATCAATGATGTTACAAACGCATCAGTGATGTTACAAACGCATCAGTGGTGTCCGCCAGGGGGAGAAGGAAAGGGCAAAGGGTAAGCTAAACCTATTCTCAGACAAAAGACGACGCATCAATGATGTTACAAACAACCCTCCCCCAAGTTCCCTCTTCATGGGACCCGACAAAAGATGTATGACCATTGTGGAAATTCCTCACGAGGAAGGGACAGGCAGAGAATTCCCAATCGTGCCGAAACGCCATTCATGGGACTTCAACGCCGCGAGTCGACGTGGCGAGAGCGTCCTGGCAACACTAGATCGCACCGGAAACCAGTCCTGGGACAGCAATACCGCGAATACACGTGATTGTGGCGCCTTGAATCTTCAATCGTTCCAGAGCGCCGTTCTTAGGAGCTCAACCCTACGAAACGCTGAATCGCCGAGCGCCGCTCAAACTGTTGAGACGAGTGTGCGCGGCGCGGAGAAAGCCACAGATTGACCAGGAGCAGCCCTCCATCCTGCTAACTGCTGCAAACGTTGAAAAGACGAATGCGCGCGACGTCAAGGCGAGAGCCACAGTTTGAAAACGACCCGTCCTACAGCCTTGAAACTGTTGCAAACGTGTCAAGACGAATGCGCGTTGCGCTAACGCGAGAGCCACATTTTGAACACGGCCCGCCCTTCATCTTTGACCCAGCTACATATATTAAAACGAAAGCGTGCGGCGCTGAAGCGAGAGCCGCATTCTGAAAAATATCCGCCCCCCACCCAGGACACTGTTTCAACGTTCAAGCTTCAGGGTCATAAATGGGTGAAGAAGTCTCAGGCGAAACGCCCGGCCCGCCCTACCGACACGTCTGGGGGTGCTACAGGGAGGAGTTATGTATGGGGAGAAGGAATAAAGGAGGAGGAGGGCGAAGAGGGTGGCATGGCAGTCAATGCGTGCAAACATTTCTGCAAGCTTGCGTGAAAACACAACCAGGAGAAATGAATGACCTGGGTGCAGACATACAAGTTGCATTCTAACCTTCAGGCCATAAGATGGAAGGGCAGGACCGAGGGGCACGGCGCTTATGGCGCAGTGCTCTTGCTGCCTCGCGATCCCTCTGAATCCGAGCCTTCTGCTTGTCTGAGAGCACTGGTGGTGGTGGTGGTGGTGGTGGTGGTGGTGGTGGTGGTGGTGGTGGTGGTGGTGGTGGTGGTGGTGGTGGTGTTGGAGGGGGAAGTGGGGAGGCCGGAGGGAGAGAGGCAGGGCCCTCCCCGGCCTCCTCGGGCCCGGTGGGCCCGAGCACGTCTTGGGCTGCCGCCTCCTCAGCGTCCGTGGCCTGCCTCCTGGACGCCCTCGGGGACTGGAGGCGGAGCACTCGCTGGGGAGGGGGGGGCGGCGGCGGCAGCAGAGGGAGAACCAGGCGACGACGGAGGAGGAGGGGAGGAGGGCTGCAGGCATATCCATCTGCTCACTGCGGGGTCTCCTCTGTCCCTCCTCTTCTGGCTTCTCACATAGTCGGGCGCACGTGCAAGCTCCATATCTGTGTCCAGCCTGGCATACATGTCCCTGAGGCCACGTGTCGCTTCCTCGGGATCACACATCATTGGTATGCTACTGTCTGCAATGTTCCACAAGGAGTCTGAAGTCGATCTAGCAAGAGCAGCAGCCAAACGGGTTGGGTACGTCTTCTTGGCACTTGTTTTGAAACAGCGTCGGTCGGTAGTCTTGCCCACAAGTGTCATCTGTTCTCGTCTGCCATGGTGACATCTCCCTCCGTTCCCCTGAGCAGTAAGGTGTGTATGCAATGAGGGCAGACGGATGGCAACTATCCGTGTCGGCGCACGTCCTACTTCTATTGCAGGGAGGTCCTGGAATACGCACTGGTAAAGATCTGTTGTAGACGAGATGGGGGAGGATGCCAATGCTCTGAGAAGTCCCCACATGAAGGATGTGGGCGCTTGCTGTCTCCATACTGCCAGCTTGGATGCTCCATCCAAACGCTTCAGTGGGGCGCCACGCTTCTTGATGTCGGCTCTCGCGAGCAGGACCATTCCTAGGTCAGTCCGCGAAGCGCCCTGACGCGCCCCGTGCAGGAAGAGGAGGGGCAGGGGGAGGGGAAGGAGGAGGAGGAGGAGGAGGAGGCGGAGAAACAGCAATGTACGAGTCAGGAGGAGGAGGAGGAGGAGGAGGAGAAGAGGGAGGTGGAAGAGGAGGAGGAGGAGGAGGAGGAGGAGCAGCAGCAGTGACGTGCCAGGGAGGAGGACCCGGTGCAAACCCTACACGCACCAACGGTGTTGCAATAAGCCGTCCCTCAAGTGCCCTCTTCACGGGTCTTGGGGGCCTGTTGGGCTTCTGGGCCGCCTTGGACGCTCAGAAGGCCGACAAGCCAAGTATGCGACACATATACAAGAGACGCGTGATCATTTAGCGATGTTGGCCTTGTCGTGCTGGCCCCCAGGATTTTCAATTCGAACCAAGAGTCCCCCAAGATAACCCCAGGACGGTCCCTTTGGGGCTACTGAAGGTTCCTGAACCTCTTCGAACAGTTATTGGAAGTCTCTGGGGGGACGTTGGAGTCGGTTTGGGTTGATTTGGTCTCCCAGAAGCTTGCGGATGCGGGGGAAACGTTCAGGAGCGTCCAGGTTCGGTAAATCTGTGGTCCAGGCCCTCAAAGTGACACAATCTTCTAAAAATTAGCATGTGAATGAACTGTGGGGCACTCCACTACTCCACTACGTGCTGACTGCACGGTGGCAGGTGTTACACGAAGTGTGTGAGTGGCATGCCGAATTGATTGAGACTCCACACACCCATCCCAGAAGCCAGCTGAGGGCCTCGGGGGAGGCGCGGCGAGTGGGGGTAGGGCGGGGGAGGAGGCGTGAGAGGGGGGGGGGAGGGGCGTGAGGGAGGGGGGGGCATTTTCCAATGAGTGCGTGAGGGGGTATCCCAAATTGATGTTCCAGGGAGCCGTCCTGGGTGGCCAGCAGGGGGCCTTTGCGGGGTTTCATGAGGGCACACATGGGTGAGGGGTGTGCCGAACGGAGGCTCCCTTCACTGGTGCTGGGCCCGAAGTGAAAGTCCCTCTGGAGGCCCATGAGGGCACGAGGTGCGTCAGGGGTGTGCCGAAGTGAGGCTTCCCAAGGTGAAGTCACGGGCGGACGCCCTGCCGTTGCGCCTTGGCTCGAGCGATTCGGGCTCGGACGACCCTTGGCCTCGGGCCGGACCTCTTCGCACCCGACCGCCCAGAAGTCCTGCGTCCGCCATGGAGGCCATGAAGGCGAAGGCCAAGGAGATGGCGCAGAAGGCGCTGGCGGAGATGGACGCGCAGGCGCAGGAGAAGATGCCGGGGTTCATGAAGCCGTTCCTGATTTGCAACGGCGGGTCCGCGGTGAGGACGATGAACTGCATGGCGTGCGCCCTCCCCGCGGACGCCAAGGAGGGCGCGGCGCAGCTGTACGAGAAGTACCAGAGCACCAAGGCCAAGATCGACGAGTGAGCGCAGCGGGGGCTTCGTCGGGGAGACCCTTGGTGCGCGCCGCGTAGCTGGCTCTGTGCCCCCGGAGGGCGGAACACTGTCCTCGGAGGAGGCCCAGTCGAGACGACGGCGGCAGCCTCCTCGTCACCACGGCCGGATCCGACACGGGCCAGGCTGGAGCCCGGGAGGGGTCCGGGGACCGATTTTGACAGACCAGAGGGCCGCCGTTGTCTCAGCTGGCCCTCTCCCGACATCCGCCCCCAGGGCTTCAAATATTGTAGTGGCCGCCGTGAGGTGGCCAGCGCTGGGACGCCGGGGGCCTTCCCTGAAACGGGGGCAAAGCGGGCACTCCGAGCGCTCGGGCGAGAGAGAGAGAGAGAGAGAGAGAGAACAAAGCCTTGGCGTGCACGTTGCATGCCATGTCCAGCTTCTCCTCGGCACTCCCTGCAGGCAGTCTCCACAATCCTCTCCACGCTCTCTGTACGGACATCCACGCCCTCCGTCTCCATGCAATCTCCACCGTCCTTTCCGCAGACTGCCCGCATTCTGCACGCAGTCTGTGTGGAACTCAGCACGGATTCGGGTGTCGGGGGCGCCAAAACCATGATTTCCAGATTTTCGCTCAAGATGCCCCCACATAGAAATTAGCTTTGGGGCACTTCACTACGAGCTGACTGCACTGTGGCAGGTGCGGCCCGAAGTGTGTGAGGGTCGTGCTGAATTGAGACTCCCTTCACCCGTCCTGGAGGCCAGCTGAGGGCCTCGGGGGACCCATGTTGCACGAAGTGCGTGAGAGGTATGTGCTGAAATCGATGTTCCAGGGAGCCGTCCTGGGTGGCCAGCAGGGGGCCTTTGCGGGGTTTCATGAGGGCACACATGGGTGAGGGGTGTGCCGAACGGAGGCTCCCTTCACTGGTGCTGGGCCCAAAGTGAAAGTCTCTCTGGAGGCCCATGAGGGCACGAGGTGCGTGAGGGGTGTGCCGAAGTGAGGCTTCCCAAGGTGAAGTCACGGGCGGACGCCCTGCCGTTGCGCCTTGGCTCGAGCGATTCGGGCTCGGACGACCTTCGCACCCGACCGCCCAGAAGTCCTGCGTCCGCCATGGAGGCCATGAAGGCGAAGGCCAAGGAGATGGCGCAGAAGGCGCTGGCGGAGATGGACGCGCAGGCGCAGGAGAAGATGCCGGGGTTCATGAAGCCGTTCCTGATTTGCAACGGCGGGTCCGCGGTGAGGACGATGAACTGCATGGCGTGCGCCCTCCCCGCGGACGCCAAGGAGGGCGCGGCGCAGCTGTACGAGAAGTACCAGAGCACCAAGGCCAAGATCGACGAGTGAGCGCAGCGGGGGCTTCGTCGGGGAGACCCTTGGTGCGCGCCGCGTAGCTGGCTCTGTGCCCCCGGAGGGCGGAACACTGTCCTCGGAGGAGGCCCAGTCGAGACGACGGCGGCAGCCTCTTCGTCACCACGGCCGGATCCGACACGGGCCAGGCTGGAGCCCAGGAGGGGTCCGGGGACCGATTTTGACAGACCAGAGGGCCGCCGTTGTCTCAGCTGGCCCTCTCCCGACATCCGCCCCCAGGGCTTCAAATATTGTAGTGGCCGCCGTGAGGCGGCCAGCGCCGGGACGCCGGGGGCCTTCCCTGAAACGGGGGCAAAGCGGGCATTCCGAGAGCTCGGGCGAGAGAGAGAGAGAGAGAGAGAGAGAACAAAGCCTTGGCGTGCACGTTGCATGCCATGTCCAGCTTCTCCTCGGCACTCCCTGCAGGCAGTCTCCACAATCCTCTCCACGCTCTCTGTACGGACATCCACGCCCTCCGTCTCCATGCAATCTCCACCGTCCTTTCCGCAGACTGCCCGCATGCAGGCAGTCTCCACAATCCTCTCCACGCTCTCTGTACGGACATCCACGCCCTCCGTCTCCATGCAATCTCCACCGTCCTTTCCGCAGACTGCCCGCATTCTGCACGCAGTTTGCGCGGAACTCAGCACGGATTCGGGGGTCGGGGCGCCAAAACCATGATTTCCAGCGTTTCGCTCAAGATGCCCCCACATAGAAATTAGCTTTGGGGCACTTCACTACGAGCTGACTGCACTGTGGCAGGTGCGGCCCGAAGTGTGTGAGGGTCGTGCTGAATTGAGACTCCCTTCACCCGTCCTGGAGGCCAGCTGAGGGCCTCGAGGGACCCATGTTGCACGAAGTGCATGAGAGGTATGTGCTGAAATTTATGTTCCAGGGAGCCGTCCTGGGTGGCCAGCAGGGGGCCTTTGCGGGGTCTCATGCGGGGTTTCATGAGGGCACACATGGGTGAGGGGTGTGCCGAACGGAGGCTCCTTTCACTGGTGCTGGGCCCAAAGAGAAAGTCTCTCTGGAGGCCCATGAGGGCACGAGGTGCGTGAGGGGTGTG